TACAGTCAATTTTATATTATTGTAGATGGGTTGACGGAACATATTTTGGTTAAACCGGAATAACCGTGTGTAAGAGCTTTGGTATTTATTTGATATATTTATTTATTTCGTACATGTCTGAAGCCAGACTGTGTGCCATGATACAATAATCTTTATGAAAATGGAAAAAAGTTCTATGATATGCATATGGGTGGAATAGTGTATCAGATTGCCCAAGCCAAGGCAGGTGAATTTTCTTAGGGAACTCACAACCGGAACCTTCGACTAGCATGACCAAAGCCTAAACCCCAAAGCAGTGGGGCGGCGTGTGAAAACTGCAGTGTATTTGGGTGCCGTAGTCCAGTTCATCGGAACATACGGCTTTTGGACAGGGCCAAAACTCCTAGGTGCCCAAAACACCTCGATGTTCAATCGAGCCCGTGACCACTACCACAACCGGGAAGGTGTGTGTGTGACTCGTACACCTCTTTTTGGCTGTTTTGGAATCAAGGTTTTCGGCTAACTCCATTAGGTGAACTGTCAGTGGTTCACCAATCCGGTTATAGCCCCGAATGTTGGCTTTTCATCCTCTCACTTTGGTGGGAAAACACCTGGACCACGGGAATGTGGCAGTGATTAGGGCTTCCTCAACAGAGTCTATTTGAGACGCCTAGTCGTATGGGAGCATTTCGCGATATGCAAGGAAAGGGTGACTAGCCGCAACCCTAGACACCCACCCTTGCCCATCGTGAGGTTTCCGGGGTCGTTTGTTTTACAGCCTTGGAGAGAAGATAGATAAGATAAATAACTCAAACTGTGATAGTCACGGAAGCACAGCTTCGTGATACCAAAACAAACAGTTGTCAATATTCGGATATACCTTCTATAATGACGTTGTACAATCAATTTTGACCCATAACTATTTCTATGGATCTCAGTTGATATCCGTCCACTTGGATTGATGAATTTGCACTGCAGACCCTACGGTCGAAGTGGTTGTACAGAGTTTTTTTTCGAGTTCTTCAGTTCACTACGACAGAGTCTTAATGATAAACAAGTTTTTTCGGATCTCACCGGATGGGTTTCTATCGGTTGGTGGAAAAGTTTTACACCATTTCGAGCAATATTCCACAACCACTGGTGCAGGTAACTCAGCATGCGCTCTCTCGATTGTTTTTCGTCTTCAGCAGTTGTTTGGCGATCGATCTACCCCGATCTTTGTGATATTCCCTGTGTTTCTCCCGCACGCGTTTTGAAATATGCAATCGATGTTGTGCTGTGTCAATCTATTCCTTCTCTACCTCCGATCTAAGGTCTTTCACCGACAATCTTGATCAAATTCGGTCACTCCCCTGCTCATCGGGCCTAACCTTGAAGCCCAGCAAACTTTTTTGAGTATTTATTTGCTCGCTCTCGATATCCGTCATACCCCATAGTGATTAATAGTAATCCTTTATCTAAAGTGAACTCCGTCTAATATCTTGGCTTAGATATAGATATCGATCTTCTTTGGTCAACCCACATTCGCAAGTGCATTGGTAAACTGCGGCACCTATTATTTCAAATTCGAAAGCTCAGGTTGCTTTGCGCATCCCAGTCAGTTATTTCTACTTTTGTTAATTAGTGTGTTTTCCCCATCTTACTTTACTGTTCCCCAGTTATTTTTCCTTGACTTACTCAAACAGGATTTCAAAGTTTAACGCCGCTTTCTAGATATTAATAACCGCGTTTCTTCCATTCCTGTAAATAAGTTAGCCGTGAAATTTTCAGAGTATCTATCATACAACGTGCTGTACGAAATTTACGGATAAGATTCTCACAGATCTTGACCACCCATTGCACGCAGAACTGACACGTTACCTTTCCCATCTCTCCACACGTTCCCAATTCTGATAAGTTTTATTTATAATAAACGCTTACCGAAACTCACCTATACCCACCCTATCTTACATGTTTGCTCACAAACAAAGAGAGGGCAATACGTGAACTTTATCTTGACCTTGGTTGATGAAGTGTCCCCGTGTCCGCTGTAAATATTCTCCCCGGTTGGCGTGTGTAGTAGCTTTTTGTCTGACATTTTAGCCTCAGTGCTTGCAAAAGTTATACACAATACACATTATATATCTTATATTCCCATCCCGATAGGGTAAGATCTTGTTAAATCCAGTTTGAACCGCATTAGACAAACGGGACAGGCTTGTATCGCATTGTACAGGAGGTCATGGGTTCCGGTTTACTTGTTGACAAGCTGTTGATTGGTTACACTTGCACTCCGGACCATGGACCGTTAATTGCTTTCAGTTCAGTAAAAAGATCTATCTTGTCCAGCACTCGACGTTTCCAAACCCTATTATTTCGCCAAACACTCATAAAAGTCACTTGTGGAGATCGAACAAATGCATTTCTCTGGCAAAATTTTGCAATCTTGGAGTTTGCTGGGCTCCCTTTGGCCACGTCATCTCAATTCCCCCATCTACTTCAAGGTGAAACAAACGCTATTTCCTATCAATGGCTCTCACATTTCGTATACATCATATTCATCAGATCGTTTCCCCCTCGTTTCCATGTGATCACATTGAGTTTTTTTCACATAAATCGTTTTACTGCTTACTGATCAACTATTTATTCAAGTTCCATATAATCTTCGAAACAGATGTCATGTATATCCCAAAGCGTGCATGTTAACCCGGTGCACCTCCCCCCCCCACCCACACACACACCCCACCCCGTCAAATCCAACTAGTCCACACACCAACGGTCTCGATTATCGACGAGTTAGTTTGTCCAAACCGGGTCAGTTCAATCGATGCAGTTCGGCTCGTTTCAAACGCCAACAACCGCAACCCCAATTCTCCTCTGTTGTCGGTGCAATCGGACCCCCGTCCACACGACCCCTGTTCTTTAACAGCAACCACAACGAGGAATTGTCCATGTTGAAACGTTCCAAATCCGATCGATTTCAATCGTCCCGTCCCCAATGGAAACCTCCAGGCAGTCCAACTGCAGTGCTGAACAATCAGGTTTGTCTACTTTTG